CTGGAAGCGGAGAAGCCCTCCGCTTCCAGGGCCAGCCCATAGAACAGCTGAGGCCGCAGCGCCTCCTTCCAACCGCGGCCTCAGCTTTCGTAAGTTGAACGCTTTCGTAAGTTGAAGCAAATTTTTTCTGGAGGCGCGTTTCGTAAGTTGAATTTTTCGTAGGAGGAAGCATTCGTAAGTAGAGGTACGACTGTACTTTTGAGCTGCATATCAGCCACCTGTGCCAATGAAAGGTGGTTTTTGTAGTTGCTGCTATTATTCGTGTATTGCATTCCAAGTGATTCTTCCTTATTCAATATTCTGAAACCCCAAAACCAAAAACCTTTTTCATGGGTGGATGAGATAGTGATGCTTTCTGATGGTTCAATGCACAATTTTTTAAAATATTGTATAAAATTACCTTTAAAAATTGTATATAAGATGTACATGAAACATAATCAAATTTAATGTATAGACTTTGGTTCCCATCTCCAAGATATTTCATTATGTACATATATGCAAATACAGGTATCCAAATTGGGTAAGGGAGACTCAACCTGTACAGTATTTCTGTCCAAAATGGCTTCCTTCAGTATAATGGTCACAATAATCCTCAATATGTATCCAGTGTGCCTGGATATTTTACAATTGAAGTTGATATAGGTATTTTTCAAACTGTATGACTTTGCATTCATTGCAGTGTGTGTGTATGTGTGTGACTTATAAATGAGGGCAGCTTTTCGGACCAGTTGGAAATGAAAGAGTGTTTCTTGAAGACTGAGCTGTAATTATTGCATGCTGAAGCCAGCCATGGTGTTCAGTGACATCTAGGGACTAACATACAATACTGCATTCTCAAACAATATTGAACAATCCAGTGGAACCTGTGTAGAAGAACCAAAGGCTTGAACCCAAGTCATAACCAATATTAAATATGGTATCAGATGGTTTTGCCTGCAAGTACCTTAGGCTGCATCTACACTACAGAATTAATACAGTTTGAAACTGCTTTAACTGCCATGGCTCAATGCTATGGAATTTTGAGATCTGTAGTTTCGTGAGATATTTAGCCTTCTTGGTAAGGGAGCTCTGGTGCCACAACAAACTACAAGTCCCAGGATTCCATAGGATGGAGCCATGGCAGTTAAAGTGTCTCTTCTTGTTGACTGAGACACAGGCTAGGGCATACAGAATGGAAAAATAGATTCAATGGATGTAAAAAATAAACTATCCTTTCATTCATCCTCATGACATATGTCACCAACAGAGTTCTAGAGGCTATGCATCTATTTTAGTATTTAGTGTGAGCCCTTGCTTACAATACAGTTGCTAAAAACAATGAGAAATACCACCTACCAGCAATTTCACCTCTAAGTGTTGCTCGTAATGCAGCCAACATATCAATAGGCACAGGAGAAGAAACAGGGATGGATAGATAGATAGATAGATAGATAGATAGATAGATAGATAGATAGATAGATAGAAAAAATGGGGGAGGGAGATTACTGCTAGGGATGGGGAGAGATAATTGTGGGATTTTTTGCCTAATGTTCCAAGATAATTTGGCTGGCATCTTGGCTGGCATCATGTGGGTTGCTGGGAGCTGACATTTGTTAATCTGCTTTAGGGCATTTCCTCTCTCCATCCCCTTTGCTCGGCAATGCAGAGAAGGCAGTAGTGCAGTAGCAAGAGAGAAAGGACCCCAAAACAAAAAAATAAAGGGGGAGGGGGAAGTTTAAGGCAAGAACAGCATCCTGTTCATTTGCATGTTCATCTGATAGTGCAGTTGTGAAGGAGGGCACTTGGGCATCATTCTGTCAGCATTCTGTGTTCCCTCTTTTGATGCAACACCTGTCATGTTCAGCCTTACCATTCCACCTTCCACATTGCATCCCTAACATTAGTGTATATGCTTTTCATTTTCAGGACAGTCGGTTTTGAAATAATTTACAAGAGTGCTCCAGTAACCATCCCAAAATTTCAGGCTATATACAAGCATAGCACACTTCAATCATCAATTAAAAACTTTACAGCCTGCCCATAAACTTAATCCAAAATTCTAACCTAAGGATCCTGGATGCCTTTTCCTAGGACTTCAGTTTATAACAGCAGTTCCATTGTTCATGTTATCACTATATGCCTAGAGGAACCAGAGCATGGGAAATCTTTTCTTTTGAGCTGCAGTTTCCAGAATCCCCTAGCCTGCATGGCCATGGGCTGGGGCATAATGGAAATCATAGTCCAAACAGTAACCATTTCCCATGTTCTGGGAGGAACATGGAGATTAGATCAACTGCTAATTGTATGAAGTTGACACATAGCAAGACAGATGGTTGGTTTGTCTGGCCAAGTGTATACTCTGGCAATGGCTCTCAGCTGGCCTTTCTAGGTTTAATAGCTGAGATTCTTTTAATTAGACATGACTGGAGATTCAATGTGGTGCTGGCAAGGAAGGTGATCTATCACTGAATTTTGGTGCACCCAGACGTGGGTTGAAATCTTTGACAGCAAAGTGTTGGACACATGATAAATAAGGATGGTTGAGAATCTCAGGAAGGTTTATCCTGCAGGATGGTATGTACTATTTGCCAAAGGAGAAGTGTCCTTAATGCTAGATAGAATATTTGTGTGACTCTAACACTGATTATATTGTTTAATAATAAAGAAGGGTCACCTTGAACTTATTTTTGGGTGCAGGAGATAGGGGTCAGGATCAGGAAAATGATTTGCTTCACTTGGAGTCTGTCTAGTGTGCCAAACTCTCATACATCACTACAAGGATGTGCAAAGCATTTTTTCTTGCACTTCTTCAAAACCACACAGGGTTTAAACATAAAACATATCTATCTTTATTTAGTCAACTGCTACTGTGTTTATAACTCTTCTCCCAGTTTTCCCTTCTGACCTTTCCATGTATAACTCTTAGACTTGACATACATTTATATTAGGATTCTCCTGTTTTTACTTGGAGGTAAAGCTGGTTGAACTCACTTGCATTACAATATATGTAGAATGGCTGACAAACACAAATGGGAAAGCTATAAAAGTTGTTTAATACATCATTCTCTCTCATGTGTGTGCACACGTGTATGAACGACACACACACACAAAAGAGGCAACCCCCAGTGGTAGAACATTTTACTGGCTAAGGGGTTTACATGTTCAGACAACCAAGAAAGATATGCAAAGAGTGGTGTTGAATTTCTGCTTGTGAAAGGGAGTAACTCCAAAAATGAAGCAGCTGTCTTTAAGGAGTTATTAGAATCAAATAATTTAATTATAGAACCTTATGTATCTTATATATATCTTATACACAGAATCTTGGCCATCCAGTCCAACCTCCTATTATGCAGGGATACACAACTAAAGCACTTTTGAAAGATGACCATCCAACTTCTGTTTAAAGACCAGCAAAGAAGGAAAACCTACCACCCTGCCAGGCTATTCCATTGGTGAACATCTCTTACAGCAAATAAGTTTTTCCTAATGTTTAGATCAAATCTCTTTTTGAATCCATTCATTTGAGTCGTCATCTCTAGAGCAGCAGAAAACAAATTCACTCCTGCAAGAGGGCTTCTAGGCTCTTAGTTTAAACATCTAAAATTGGAATTGCAGCCACATTGTGAGACGTTT